ATCAGCCAGGAGAATGTGTGGGGACTACCGAGGACTTAATAAAGTGACAGTGGCGGACAGGTACCCCATGCAATCGGCGGAAGAGATATTCGATCAGCTGCAAGGAGCAGTTGTGTTTAGCACACTGGACCTCCGACAGGGATTTAATCAAATACCGATCAAGGAGGAGGACCGGAGGAAAACGGCCTTCCATGGACCCGAGGGGCTGTATGAGTGGAAGTTCATGCCCTTTGGCATGAAGAACGCGCCAGCACTATTCCAGCGGGTGATGGACTCAGTGCTGAGGCACGTGCCGGCGGCAGCCTGCTACATCGACGATATAGTCGTGTTCAGTGCATCCGCAGAGCAGCACGTGAAGGACGTGAGCGACACACTGGACGCCATTCAATCAGCAGGGCTGACTTGCCACCCTAAGAAATGCAGTTTCGGGAACAGCACAGTGAAGTATTTGGGCTTCGAAGTACAAGGGGGGCAGCTGAGCATCCAGCAAGCGAAAGTGGAGGTGCTGGATCGAGTCCCCGCCCCTAAGGACCGCAGTACTCTGAGGGCAGTACTGGGCTTCCTTAACTACTACAGGAAGTTCGTACCCAACTTCAGCCGTACTGCCGCAGTACTGAACAGGTTGCTGCGAGAGGACCAGGTGTGGCAATGGGGAGAGGAAGAGCAGGGGGCATTCAAAGCCCTCCTTAAAGCGGTGAAGACAGGGACCGTCCTTACATTGCCCAGTAAGGAAGACCCGTTCGTACTCTACACCGACTGGAGCAGTGCAGGCATGGGGGGAATTCTATGCCAGGAGAGGGACGGACAGGAGATGGCGGTGGCATTTGCGAGCCGAAGCTGTAACCCTGCAGAAGCCAATTATAGCTCATACGAAGGGGAAGGGCTCGCGGCGGTCTGGGCTATCACCCACTTCAGGGTATACCTACAGGGGAGACCGTTCGTGTTAATCACAGATCATCAGCCGCTGACGTGGCTGATGACCAATCAGGCCCTGACCGGCCGGAACGCGCGATGGGCCATGCGTCTGCAGGAATACGAGTTCACCATTCGACACCGAGCGGGGAAGACATTGCAACACGTGGACGGGCTATCATGTAACCCGCCACCTTCAAGCCCAGAGGCGTGCCTCGTGGCTTTGGCGAGAGAAATCGACGGGGAAGGAGCCCAACGGAAAGCTCATAAAGGAGCCAAAGACGTCTGGGAGGATGAAGAGACGCTGGGGTGGATCCAAGGAAAGACCTCAAAAGCAAAACCTGCAAGCGAGAGGGCCAGAGCCAGGGGCCTGCATTACCGGTGGTTCCGGGACCAGCTCCAGAAAAACACTAAAGAAGGATGGAAGCTGGTCCTGAGGCGAGAGGAACGGGAAGAGATCATAGCGAGGGTGCACCGGCAGCTGGGGCACTATGGCAGCCTAAGGACGAGCCAGCTAATAGAGACGGGCTGGTGGTGGGCAGGAATGAGAGGAGACATTAAAGAGTGGGTGGGCTCTTGTGAACTATGCAGCAGGAACAAAGCAGAGATGGAGAGAGGGAGGGAAGAGCTGCACTCGCTGCCCATCAGAGGCCTAGGGTTTCGGTGGTCATTAGATATGGCCGGAGAAATGCCGCTCAGCCGAAGGGGGAAGCGGTTCATACTCATCATGATCAAGCACGGCAGTAAGTGGGTGGAGGTGAATCGCTGCCGAGCAAGAGCTCGGCCCGGATAGCAGAGGCATTTGAGGAACAGGTGTTGACTCGGTTCGGAGCATGTGGGGAAGTATTGACAGATCAGGGCACAAAATTCTTGGGAGAATTCGAGAAGCTACTGAAAGCTAGCAGTATTACGCATCGGCGGACCTCCAGGTATCACCCCCAGAGTGACGGGCTCACAGAGCGGTTTGTGCAGACGGTGAAGAGAGGGCTGAGAGCTTACGGGGAACAATTCAAGAAGGACTGGGACCTGAGACTCCCGTGGGTAGTCGCAGGCTACCGCTTCAGTAAGCAGGCCGCGCTAAAGGACTTCTCGCAGTACTACCTGCTGCTGGGAAGGGAACCTATCTTGCCCATAGACGCGCCACGGGTACTGACAGATGTGGTCTCAGTGAGCTCGGAAGACGCCTGGGTGGGGCTGGCCGAGGTTAGGGCAAGGTATCTACGGGAGATGCTACCAGCAGCGTTAGAGAACCTGCATGTGGCCCAGCTCAGAGACGCACAGCGCTACAAACGAAGGAGAGAAGAGCAGGCGGGGGCGAAGGGGGCACCGTTGGGGGTGGGGGAAGAAGTATATGTTAAGTAGGCCAGGCAAGATATGCTGGATATAGGGCTCAGCACTGAGAGGTGGAAAGTGAAAGAGGTTAAGGAGTCCGGAGTGGTTGTACTAGTGGGGGACAAGGGGCAAGAGAAGAGGGATCATTAGACGAATGTAGCTAAGGCATGGCCCCAGCGAGTACCCCCGGACCCTCTCAAGCAGAAGGAGCAGACAAGAGAAGAGCCTTTCACCAAAGAGGTCCATCGGCGATACCTACCAGAGCAGGAGTTAGCGCCAAGGAGAGGGCAAGAGGGAAAGGCAGGGGTAGCCTCCCAACGCATGAAGAGAGAGTTGAGGAACTTGATGGGGTGAGACAGAGGAAGAGGGGATGCAGAGAAGGGAGGGACAAGGTGGAAGGGGCTGGCACAAGACCAAAGACAGGGGCAGAAGAAAGAAGGTACTGAGCTGGGAAGGACAAAGCAAGAGGAGGGGCAAAGAGACCAAGTTTTTGACAGCTGTCATACATTTAATTGAAGAATAGAGAGCAGGGCCTAGCAATATAAATGCATGACAAGATACAGTAGTGAGTAGTTTTCAAGCGAAGTTAAGCAGAGGCGAATAGCGCCAAATCAGAGAACTGACGAAATAAAACCAACCGTTGCCAGGCAACGGTAACCAAGTGCACATACTTAGGCAAGCAACACGGGTCGTTTTCATTTGCTTGCTTGTATGTTTCCTCTATCACCTAAGAGTTACTCACTACTCGCGTTAGTTCATTAGGGAGGAGCCAATCCCAGCAAGCCTTTGTGCAGGTTCCCACTCAGTGTTTTCAGGCAGTCAGCCGAGTTAGCAAGACTCTGAGGGAGGCCAACGAGCCACGTGCTTACAACTTACGAGAGGGAAAGGCAGGGGTAGCCTCCCAACGCATGAAGAGAGAGTTGAGGAACTTGATGGGGTGAGACAGAGGAAGAGGGGATGCAGAGAAGGGAGGGACAAGGTGGAAGGGGCTGGCACGAGACCAAAGACAGGGGCAGAAGAAAGAAGGTACTGAGCTGAGAAGGACAAAGCAAGAGGAGGGGCAAAGAGACCAAGTTTCTGACAGTGGTAAGAAATAAGGTGGTTGGCAGCAGTCGTGTTAGGGGTGGTGGCGGAGGAGGTGGCGGTAGTGAGGGAGGTGGAGGTGCGAAGAGTCACTCTACAATAGTCGTAAGCAAGACTACGGGTTGTTGGCACAAACTCTAGGATTGATCGTAGCTTTGCCTGGTTCGTTAGCACTTGCACAATCACAGGAATAATCGGCAAGAGTTTTCACTAGCAAAGTTTGTATTCCAGAATGATAGCAATGATAATTACAAGAATGACTACATTAGGCACCTAACAGCTCTACAGCTAGCCTGGTCGACCGCTAGCATAGCATGGTCGACCGCCTTCCAGCGTTTCGCAGAGGAGTCGTGCCAGCACTGCAGAAACGCGGCCTGCCAACACAGTAGGTCGACGGCATGCCAATGCTGCAGTAGAGCGGCTGTGTCAAACATTATATATGTTGTGCTTGTTTAGGCTACAGTGGGTTAGCCTAGAAGGGGTACACAATTCTAGGGTTAGGTACTTGTACTGATTTCACTGTTAGTTCAATCATTCCTATTCGTTCATTTCAACATAGTTTCAGAGCAGGTCCTTCGCTAGGACAGTTTTTTTTTAGGGCCCACCACTACCTACCTACCTACCTGCGCCCTAGGGCGCCTCGTTTTTCACGGCCCCCTAAGGCCCCGCGACCCGCGACCCGCCCCTTAGCGACCTGCGCGCCGCCCCTTACGGCCCCGTCGGCCCATGTGCTCGCCCCTTACGGCCCTGCGCTCGCCCCTTAGCAACCCCGTCGGCCCCGCGATCGCCCCTAACGGCCCCGTCGGCCCCGCGCTCACCTCCCTAGAGGCCCCCGTCGGCCCTGCACTCGCGCCTAGAGGCCCCTTACGGCCCCGCGCTCGCCCCTAGAGGCCCCGAACGGCCCCATGCTCGCCCCTAGTGGCCCCTTACAGCCCCGCACTCGCCCCTACAGGCCCCGAACGGCCCCGCGCTCGCCCTTAGCGGCCCCGCGCTTGCCCCTAGAGGCCTCGAACGGCCCCGCCCTTGCCCCTAAAGGCCCCGAACGGCCCGTGACCGCCACAGCCCCTCCACGACCGAGCCGAGCCGCGCGAGCCAAACCAAGCCGCCCAGCCAGAGCCGAGCCGCGCCGCCCTACCCGAGCCGCGCCGCCCTACCTGAACCGAACCGCGCCGCGCGTACTGACCGAACCGCCCTACCTGTCTCATCCTGCTACTCCTACTGCTGCTCCTACTGCTCCTATGGCTAGCCCACTTGTGCTAGTTTTCGATGCTGAGGGCCGCCCAGTGAAGTTTGACACCTGGCTAGATGACCTGCACCTCTATCTACAGCTCACTGCCAAGGACGACATCTCACTGTACGACCACGCCCTAGGCCATGTCACTGCACCTGCTGCTACTGCTGACAGCACTGCCAGCTCACAGTGGCAAACTCGTGACGCCCACGCTCGCTTTGCTATTCGCAACTCCCTGCCGATAGATGAGCGCGAGCACTTTGGTCAGCACAAGACTGCACAGGCACTGTACACTGCAGTCGTTGCCCGCTACTCCTCACCGGCCTCTGCCGCACTAGCCCTTCTCTCTCTTCCCTACATGTTCCCCGACTTGGCCTCTTTCCACACAGTCACTGACCTCATTACGCACCTCCGCACTAGTGAGGCTCGCTTCCGCGCCGCTATGTCTGATGAGTTCCTTGCCAAGAACCCACCCTCGCTCTGGCTCACTCTCTACCACCTAGTCACCCGCCTCCCTGACACTCTGCGCTCAGTCACGGACCACTTCCTAGCTCGCTGCCCCACTGAGCTCACCATTGCCCTCCTTGAGAAGGAACTCCTTGCAGCTAAGGCTAGCATAGTCGCTGTAGGTGCCTCTCGTGGCGACCCGCGTACCCCATTCTTTGAGGGGTGTTCTCCTTCCCCCCTTCTTCCCTCTGTCGCCTCTGCTGCTGCTATCGACCTCCTTGGTGCTGAGAAGGTCGGGACTGCGTTTGCCTCGAGTGGGCGCCGCAGCGGCAGGGGCAAAGGGGGCAAGGGCGGTGGCGGTGACGGCGGGGGAGGCGACGGTGGGGGCGGTGGCGGCGGTGGGGGTGGTGGCGCGACTGGAGGGGCTAGTGGCAGCGGTGGGGGTGGTGGCGGCAGCGACGGGGGAGGTGGCAGGGGCGGAGGCGGTGGTGGGGGTGGCGGTGGACGCGGCGGCGGCAGGGGTTGGGGTGGTCGAGGAGGTGGCGGCGGCGGCGGTGGTCGTGGAGGTGCTGGCGGTGGCCAAGGCCAGCAGCACACTCCGTCGCCCAAAGAGGTCCGTGAGTGGTACTCTCAGCACGGGGGGGGGGGGGGGGGGGGGGGGGGGGGAGGTGGCTTTAGCTGCACGTACGCCATTCGCACTGGTGACCGCACTGGTCAGCCGTGTGGGGGACCGCACGCCACACAGCGCTGCTTCGCTCGTCTCAACGACGCTTGGCGTGTTCAGTTCTCTCAGGCCACTGAGCTGCCCCGCTGGGTTGATCTTCTGAAGAAGGGGATTGATATCTATGCTCTAGACTTTGATGCTATTCTCACTGCTATGTATGTGATGTCTACTAGTGGAGAGGGTGCTGAGTACCTGTGTGTGCCGCCCGACCCGGACATTAGGACTAGTGCGTCTGCCGCTCCAGGTAATCGCGTGTCGGCTACCCCAGGTGCTGGTGAGGCTGCTGCTCTAGGTGCTTGTGCGTCTGCCCCCCCTGGTACTGAGTCGACTGCAGCATTGCACACCTTCACACTGGACTGAGGTGCTTCTCACTGCTTCTTTCGTGACCGCACTGCCCTTGAGCCGCTTGCTCGGCCAGTTGCTGTCTCCCTTGCTGACCCCTCTGGGGGTCCAGTCATTGCGACCTCCTCAACTGTCCTCCCCTGTCCTGCGGTCCCGTCGGGCACACTGTCAGGTCTCCACCTCCCCTCGTTCTCTACGAACCTGGTGGCAGGATGTGCGCTCCAGGACGGGGCTGTTCACCAGTTCACCCCTGCCTACGAGCGTGTGACACACTGCACGTGTGCTCGTACGGGCCGTCACTTGGCTACCTTCACTCGGCAGCCGGGGTCGGACCTGTACACACTGACCACTGAGTCCTCTTAGGTTGCTGCGTCTGCGTTTGCATCCGCGTCAGGTCAGCTGTCGGCCCCCTGCTCGTGTCGCTCTGTAGCACACGAGACTGTCCTCTAGCACCACCGCCTTCGCCACCCGTCTGTGCAGCGGCTTCATGCCATGCACTCCCGGTACCTTGTCTCTGGCCTTCCCAGGGTCCTTCCTCCCCTCCCTCCCTCACCTGCTCCTCCCTGTCTTCCCTGTGTCGAGGGGCGGCAGCGCGCCGCTCCTCACTCCTCGTTTCCCACGACGACTGCTACCTTGCAGACGCTCCACATGGACGTGTGGGGCCCAGCCTGCGTCCGTGGTCAGGGTCAGGAGTGGTACTTCCTGATAGTTGTTGACGACTACTCACGCTACACCTCGGTCTTCCCCTTGCGCACCAAGGGTGAGGTCCCTGATGTCTTTGTCCCTTGGATCCGCAGAGCCCGTCTCCAGCTCAGCGAGCGTTTCCACTCGGACTTTCCTGTCCTGCGCTTGCACTCTGACAGAGGTGGTGAGTTCTCCTCCGGCCTCTTGGCAGCCTACTGTGCTGAGCACGGCATTGAGCAGTCGTTCACGCTTCCGGCCTCTCCACAGCAGAATGGGATTGCAGAGCGCCACATTGGCCAGGTCATGGAGGTTGCCCGTACCTCCTTGATCCATGCGGCTGCCCCCCACTTTCTGTGGCCGTTTGCGGTCTGGTACGCTGCGCATCAGCTCAACCATGTCTCCTTGCCGGAGACCTCGCCCACACTGCTGTTGACGAGGGAGGTTGGCGATGCGTCGCGTTTCCGGGTCTGGGGATCTCGAGCTTTTGTCCGCGATACGTCTGCGGACAAGCTCTCCTCCCGTGCTGTTCCCTGCATCTTCCTCGGCTTTGTCCCGGACGCGCCTGGTTGGCAGTTTTACCACGCCACCTCACGCCGAGTCTTGCCCTTTCAGGACGTCACTTTTGACGAGTCCGTCCCCTACTACCGCCTCTTCCCCTACCGCACTGCCCCGTCCCCCCCCCCCGCCTCTCTTCCTCGCCCCAGGTGCTGCTGCGTAGACCCCCTCCCCCCTCAGGGTGCCGCTCCCTCAGGTGTGTCTCAGGTAGATGCAGTCGAGCCTGTCGACTCTCGTCCTACTCCGGGTGCGGAGCCTGGGGGTGCGGAGCCTGGGGGTGCGGAGCTTGGGGGTGTGGAGGTTGGGGGTGCGGAGCCTGGGGGTGCGGACCCTGGGGGTCCTGAGCCTGGGGGTACTCAGCCTGGGGGTGCTGAGCCGCAGAGTCCGGAGTCTGGGGGTTCTGAGTATGGAGGTGCTGAGCCTGGGAGTCCTAAACCTGGATGAGCCCTCTCCCGGAGCAGCTGCGTGATTGGTATTTACAGTTCTGCAGCCTCAGGAGAGGTACCTCTGGAGCCACGCGTACTACTAGGACTGGTGCTAGTGCTTCTCCTCCTAGTCGGAAGCTCCCCTCGCGTGAGCGGATCCGTTAGTGGTACGAGCGGCGCTGCACTTTTCGGAGTGGTGCGCCTGGTGTCGCGGACCTCGCTACTGCTGATGGTGCTGCAGGTGCTGGAGGCTCTACTGGTATTGCTGGTGCTGCAGCCCCAGAGGCTGGAGCTGCTGCTGGTGCTGCAGACCCGGGCGTTGGAGCTACGGCTGGTGCTGAGGACCCAGGCGCTTGTGCTGCTGCTGGTGCTGAGGACCCGGGAGTTGGAGCTGCTGCTCGTGCTGAGGACCTGAGAGTTGGAGCTGTTGCTGGTGCTGAGGACCCTGGCGCTGATGTCACTGCTGGTTCTGGAGTCGCTGCACGGCCGCGGCCGTACTTCGTTCCACTCCTTCAGCAGGTTCTTGATCAGCTCCCTCCTCCTTGTCCTCCTCCCTCCTTAGGGTGTCCTCCGTCTGTCCAGTTACAGTCGCAGCTACCGTCTGCCTCCTCTCTCCCTGGTCGTGCTCCCTACACTGGTCCGACTGGACGTCATCCTGAGGGTCGTGAGCCTGAGTCTCGTCCTGCGTCGCCTGAGTCTCGTCGTGCGTCGCCTGTCCGTGCTGCTCTCACTGGTAGTCGTGTCCTGCGTCAGCGTCTTCGGGCTGTCCCAGGCACTCACCGGATGGAGCTTCGTCCTTCCAATGCTCCACATGGTGTCCCACTGCTGTCTCCTCCTGCGTCCTCTCTTCCTGCTCTTGCTGACCCGGGGTAAGACTGCCTTCGTGCTGCCAGTCCTACTGTCACGCGTCTCCTGGCTACTGTTGTCACCGACCCTTCCTTTGAGTCCGCTGCTGCGTCTGCCTTAGTTGCTGAGCTTGTCGACTTTGCTGCCACCTGTCATCTAGACTACGCCGCTAGCCTAGTTGGTGAGTCTAAGTCTGTGTGTCCTCCGTCCGTCGGTGGTGAGTGTGCTCTTGGCATTGACGTCCTTGAGGACAAGCAGGAGGAGTTTGAGTGCTTTGCTGCCGCTTTGCCCCATCTCGTGTCCATGCTTGTTGCCCCTAAGGGAGACCCGGATGCACCAGACATCCCGACCCCGCTCTCTTACGCAGAGGCAATGGCCGGTCCCTACTCCTCTCAGTGGCAGACAGCCATGGACACAGAGATGGCTTTGTGGAAGTCCACAGGCACCTACCTTGATGAGGTTCCCCTGCTTGGGGCGAACATCGTCAGTGGCATGTGGATTTTCAGGGTGAAGCGGTCGCCGGGCTCTCCGCCTGTCTTCAAGGCGCGTTACTTTTCACGAGGCTTCAGTCAACGAGAGGGAACTGACTTCTTCCAGACCTTCTCCCTGACCCCGAAGATGACCACTCTTTGGGTTCTGCTACACGTCGCCGCTCAGCGTGACTACGAGCTCCACTCTCTTGACTTCAGCACTGCTTTCCTACAGGGCAGCCTGCACGAGGAGATCTGGCTGCGCCGCCCACCTGGCTTCACTAGGTCGTTCCCTCCTGGTACCAAGTGGAGCCTCCGATGGCCAGTCTACGGTCTCCGCCAGGCACCACGTGAGTGGCACAAAACACTGAGGACTACACTTGTGGCTCTTGGGTTCACGCCTTCTACTGCTGACCCGTCGCTGTTTCTACGCACCAACACCTCACTGCCGCCGTTCTACATCCTCGTGTACGTCGACGACTTGGTCTTTGCCACTGCTGACACTGCAGCACTCGCCCACGTGAAGTCGGAGCTGCAGAAGAGACACATGTGCACAGACCTTGGTGAACTGAGAAGCTATCTTGGCTTGCGGATCACCCGGGACAGAGCACGCCGCACCATCACCTTGACTCAGTCACACATGGTGCAGCAGGTCCTTCAGCGCTTCCGCTTCACGTACTCCTCGCCCCAGCCCACTCCTCTGCCTACCGGTCACTCGCTCTCAGCTCTGCCTTCGGATGAGGTCGTAGAGCCGAGTGGCCCGTATCCAGAGCTTGTGGGCTGCCTCATGTACCTGATGACCTACAGTCGACCTGACCTTGCATACCCTCTTAGCATTCTTGCACGCTATGTCGCTCCCGGCTGTCATCGGGAGGAGCACATGGATGCAGCTAAGAGGGTGTTGCGCTACTTGTGCAGTACATCGGGCATGGGGCTAGTGCTTGGAGGGCGAGACCCTGTTGTTCTCACTGGGCACCCAGACGCTTCTTGGGCAGACGACCAGGCTACTCAGCGGTCGTCTCAGGGTTACACCTTCAGTCTTGGCTCTGGTTCAGTTTCTTGGCGTTCTACTCGCTCTTCTTCTGTTCTCAGCTCCAGTTGTGAGGCTGAGATCTACGCCATAGCCATGGCGGCCCAGGAGCTACGCTGGCTCACCTACTTGCTGACCGACCTTGGAGAGCGGCCTCGTTCTCCTCCAGTGCTGTACGTGGACAACAAGGCAGCCATTGCCTTGTGTGAGGAGCACAGACTGGAGCACAGAACGAAGCACATTGCTCTGCGCTACTTCCTTGCTCGAGAGCTGCAGCAGCGTGGTCAGCTTCGTCTGCGTTACGTGGCCTCTGAGGCCAACACTGCTGATGTGTTCACCAAGGCGCTTCAGCCTTGTGACCATCAACGCTTTTGCACTCTTCTAGGCCTTGTGCCTACTGGACCTCACTTGCTTACTTCTTGAGTCTGTTTGTACTGTGATCTCTATATATATACCTGCATGTTTACTCTTACTAGGTCGTGATCATTGTACCTCTTGCTCTATTATAAACCTGTCTGTGAACCGGTCTTGTGACCACTTGCTTGTGCTCGGAATTTGTGTGGTATCCTTGAGATCCACCCTGAGCTTGTTTTGCCTTGCTTTGCCTTGACTGGTCTTGTGACCCCTAGTTCTCCCCCACTTCGCCTATGGGGGTGTGTCAAACATTATATATGTTGTGCTTGTTTAGGCTACAGTGGGTTAGCCTATAAGGGGTACACAATTCTAGGGTTAGGTACTTGTACTGATTTCACTGTTAGTTCATTCATTCCTGTTCATTCATTTCATCAGGATGTCCAGCGTTGCACCCGTAGAAGAGAGATGTGCACATGTATGCAGGGGCACGCAGACCTTTGGCCCGACATGCGTCGTTGTGCATCCGTCACCTGTTGTATGCACCCGACGGGCCACATCGACTTCAGGAGACCAGCCTGTAGTCGCTTTCGCCATCGCGATCTTGACGACGTTCGCGTGCCTCCGCAGAATTCGTTGAGCTGGTTACCTGGTCGACCACCTAGTATGCACCCTAATTGACGAGCCCTTTGTCGACCACTGGCAGAATCATGGGAGACATCGGTAAGAGTTTTCACTAGCAAAGTTTGCATTTCAGAATGATAGGAATGACAATGACAAGAATAACTACATCAGGCACCTAGCAGCTCTACAGCTAGCCTGGTCGACTGCCAGCACAGCATGGTCGACAGCTTGCTAGCGTTGCATAGAGGATTCCTGCCACAACTGCAAAAATGCAGCCTGCCAACATAGCAGGTCGGCGACATGCCAACGCTGCATTATAGTGGTTGTCCAGCGTTGCACCCGTAGAAGACAGTTGTGCGCACGTATGCAGGTGCGCGCAGAATTTTGGCCTGACATGCATTGTTGTGCATCCGTCTGTCAGAATCCCAACCACTAGACCATTGGGATAAAAGGGCTTGTTTCAGTAGCCGGTCAGTGCGCCCATAACCCCCCAGGTGAACACGCCTGTAACCCTCTCCAGGATCAATCGGGCATCCACAGTGCAGATCTACTGACACCCCCCCACACTAGGAGGCCCAGGACTAAGCACAGCGGCAATGGCCTACATGTGCATACACCGGGAATCGAACCCGAGATCGCTCTGATACCATGTCAGAATTCCAACCACTAGACCATTGGGATAAAAGGGCTTGTTTTAGTAGCGGGTCAGTGCGCCTATAACCCCCCAGGCGAACGCGCCTGTAACCCTCTCCAGGATCAATCGGGCATCCACAGTGCAAATCTACTGACATCGTCTGCTGTTGTCTGCGCCTGACGAGCCACATTGACTTCAGGATACCAGCCCAAAGTTGCCTTCGCCATCGTGATCTCGACGACGTTCGCGTGCCTTTGCAGAACTCGCCGAGCAGGTTAACTGGTTGACCTGGTCGACCACCTAGTATGCACCCTACTTGACGAGTCCTTCGTCGACCACCACACCAGTCAAACTACCCCTCCTAGTCGACTGCCCGTCCATTGGTTAGCCCAGTCAGCTGCAATGGTTGAGCTCCCTTGGTCGACAGCTCCAGCCTCGCGAGAATCCTGAGTAGGTCGACGACCACCTTGTCAACCAGCGCAGCACATGGTAGAAGAAGGTTGTCGAGCTCCCCTAGTCTACGGAAACACCGCATCGATCCCCTGCAACTTGACGAAGCCCGCCAAGCAGTTCCTCACTGCGTACAGTCGGCTGCTTTTTCAGTACATCTGACCAGGACGTCGGCGTCGCCAAAGCGAGGGTGGGGCCAACACTCCATTCCCGTTGACACTCCCCTACCCCGCTCATGCTTGGGGTCCCCAGCCCACACGGCAGTACTCCACGGAGAAAACTCGTCCTCGGTGTGCACTCGACACACAGCACGCCATCACCACACCAGGAGGG